GCAGCAACAGCTGCAGCAACAAATTCCGCAGGGTACAATAGCAGCAGTTGGCCTCGATGGTAGCAGCTTGCCTCGAATCCAACAGCAGCTGCAGCAGCAACAAATCCAGCAGCAGCAACTGCATCAGCAACAGCTGCAGCAGCAGCAGCAACAGCTGCAGCAGCAGCAGCAACTGCATCAGCAACAATTACAGCACCAGCAGCAGCAGCACCAACGGTTGCAGCAGCAGCAGTTGCAGCAGCAGCAACTGCAACAGCAAGTGCAGCAACAACAGCTACTCCAGCAGCAACAGCTCTTTCAGCAGCAACAACTACTGCACCAGCAGCAGCAACAACAACACCAGCTGGAGCAGCAGCAACAGCGGCAGCAGTCGCTCAGCTGGTCTCAGTTGCAGCCTCAGCAGCAACAGCAGCAGCAGCAGCTTCAGCATCAGCTTTCCTCTAGCAGCAGTGTGCAGCAGCAGCGCAGCAGCAGCGGGGCCTTAGGAGACAGCAACCAGTGGGGCCCCCGCCGCAGCGAGAGTTTGCTGCAGGCGCTGCAACAGGGGGGCCCCCCTGAAACAAACAACAATAAATTCGATCCTGTAGCGGAGCAACACGGGCGTGTGCAGGTAGGAAGACACCTGAAAAAGAAAGAAAAGAATGCGAGAGGGGCCCCCTTAGCAGCAAGAAGAGACTCGTATAACTCAACACTAGATTCACCTGCTGCTGCTGCTGCTCCTACTCCTGCTGCTGCTACTATTGCTGCTCCCGCTGCTGCTAGGAAGACGCAAAGCGACAAAGCACGCAGAAAAACCACTTGGGGCCTCTCAAGGAGAAGAAAAAAGAATGGGAATGACTAAGAACACCCTGATACACCTGCTGCTGCTGCTGCTGCTGCTGAAGGCGTTGTTGGTGTTGTCGCTGAACAGTCGCAGCAACAGTGTTGCTGCTGACGGTTTTTGAGTGAGTGTCTCTACGGCGTGGTCTGTGCGAGGGTTTAGTATTTAGGGTTTAGATGAAGGGGTCTAGGGTTTGAGTAAACCCTGAAATGGTTTAGTGTTTAAATAGGATATAGGGGTTCTTATGGCTTATATAAACCTTATGGGTTTTTTTTGGGTTTACATAATGAACCCTAAAGTGTTTCCTAAGAGTTTAGATAAATTGTAAAGTCACATAGGACTTTAAGAACGCCACAATGCAAGTACAATGTGTATACAAACCCCAAAGACGAATTGAGTGTATATACACCCCAAGAGCAAACCCCTTTAAAAACAACTACCGAACAAACAAACTCCAAAAAACCCTGTATGACCTTTGCAAGGGCTCCCAACGAGCCAATGCGATGTTCACTGATGGGATGATACACCCTAAAGGCCTATTGGGGCCCTTATAAGGCCCCTGTGATGCTCCTCTGGGGCCCCTATAGGGCTCCAGCGGGGCTCCACCGGAGCATCCCTTGTAAGACCCCATAGGGACCCCTGTAAGACCCCTTAGGGCCCTGGGGGGGCCCCTCAGGGGCCTCTTAGGGGCCCCTGTAAGACCCCCTAGGGTCCCCTTTAGGACCCCTGTGGGGCCCCTGTGGGTCCCCGTGGGGGCTACCATGTGTTTATAGAGGCTCCCACGGACGCGCTGCATTTCTTTAAGCATTTCCGCATGTACGAGCTGCTCCTAAGGCTGCAGCTTTTGCATGCAAGGGCAGGTATTTATGAGCAGCTGCTGCTCTTTCTTCAGAGCAATAAACTGAAGGTCTATAGACAAGCAGCTAGAGTTTAGGGTTTAGGATTTGAAACTTCTAGTAGTACTGATTTTTTTCTCTCGTCCCTGTTGTTGCAGTGGTGTGTTTATTTGATTGTGTTGTTCTTTTTTCTACATTCTTTGTGAGCTACCTTTCTGGTATCCCAGATGGGTTGCAGAGGACAAAGAGAAGCAATAAAGTTTTTTCTCAAGTTTGTCTAGTAGACATCTTCTTTTATGTGGGCCTTTTCTAACGGAGTATCCACAAAATGCAACGAATATAAAACCATTTAATATCTTCTAGCCAGCAATCATTCGATGTAAAAATACAAGGAAATGCATGCAACTTCAGATTTACCTCTTTCTTCCCTCCCCCCTGCAAAGGAAAGAACTTGAACGCAATCTGGGGCTCTAAACTTTAGGAAGGCAGCTGAATTATCAATTTAATATTGTGCAATCATGCATGCAAGCATGCATGCAGTCCGTTTCTATTGTGTTTCTGCCTAGTAAACAGCTCTTTCCTATCTATTCGCGCTTCGCATTTCTTGAACGCCACCCCCTACCCTTTACCAGGAAAAGCATTTTTCCCTCGTTGTTTTTTGGATTATTCTGTTTCAGAATTCACTGTTTGAATTATCAATTCCACAAACTCAGCAATGCAAGAATTTTGAATTTGGTTTTTCTTTTGAAAGTATTTCCACTGGCCCGTGGCTGTCAGTGGCTGTTGCAAGTTCATTCATCGCCTTATCATGAAGAAACATACGAAGGAATATCAAGCTCTTAGCTTTCCCATGGGCGTCATGGTTTATTAAACTGTAGTAGGGCTCGTGAGTGACGCCTTAATGCACGGCTTAAGGGAATAAAGAGTACTGGGGGGCCTATTCTTTCAGTGTTGCGAGGTAAATTGATCTTCGCTGAGGGCCTTCCTGTGAAAATAGAGTTGAACGCTTGAAATGAACAAACAAACAGAACAACGTCTAGCCTCCCCTTCAGCCTCTAGGCATCTTGTACACAACAGCACGGTGTATTTATATTTAGATGTTTAAACCTTTTTACTTTACGCTTTATAAAGCAAACCCCCACTGGAGCTGCTGCGGAGAGGAGCAGCACTTGCAACTGTTGCTACTGTCAGTGCTGCACGGCGATCAGATATGCAAAGATGCAGAACACCCTCACGCTGCATGCGATGACCCTATAAATATTTACTAATCGCATACTTGGCCCTGAATAACTAACTAGAGCGCCGTAAAGAGACAAGAAACACTGACTTCAGAGACCCTCTGTGACCCACTGAAAACTGCTAGCATTCTATGCTACACGCATCGTTAGCAACGGGCTTAAGAGCCTTTTCAACTAATAAACAAGCAGAAAGAGAATTATGAAGCTCGACAAGTACATCTGCTAGTCAGCGCAGCAGTATAAAGACACGAACGCCTGTTTGAACAAGGTCCCAATGCAGCTTATTAGGCATGCTGACGGGGGCGGCGGGGGGTAGAGGATTCATACAAACTATGGTATGGGGGCACTGCCTTTCGAACAGTTATTTCAAATAATAAAAATGAATACTATATTTTACTCTCCCACCGCGTGTTTTGTGAAATACATGGAGAACTTCGGAGGCGGCAGCGCTCTTGCAGTTGCTGGGGCTATGGCAGCAGCAGCAGCAGCAGCAGCGAGATTTGCAGCAGCAGCCGAGGCCTCTTTGCTGTAAAAGCTTTCTTTTCCCCTGGCAAATAGTATTTTCATCTTCTGCTTCTATCGATTTGCCCCCAAGGAAGCTCTTTTGCCTGGGAATCTGCATGCGTGCATGCACAACTTGCGGTGTGGCTTGCGAGCGATGAGGCCGTTAGCCACGAAAATCAATTTGCTTGTTTTCTCGAGTACACTTGACGCATTTTCAACTCTTTAGGGTTTTGAAACGAACTCGGGAAGTACAAATACACCGCAGTTTCGTCTTGTTCAGCTTGCCCTCATTGAATGCACGCGAGAGGGCCCGTTACTATTTCATGTTTCTCTCTTAATCATCTGCATTTGTCTTCAAGTTTTGCCTTTGTAGTATCTTCTTCTTCTTCTTTTCTTCCTGTCAATTTGCAGCTTCTTTCTTCACCCGACTTCTCCGCCTCCCCGCCCTGGTGTCCTCCTCCATCTATTTGCTCATATACACGCGATATTCTTTTCTGTACGTCCAGCACGAGTGTTCTTGCCTGATTTATCAGCTGCGTAGTTCATAGAGGGGCCTTCACTGCTTCTGGGAGGAGCCACCGCAGCTGCTGCCGCTGCAGCGGCTGCTGCTGCTGCTGCTGCTGCAGCTTGCTGGCAGTTGCAGAAGGTGTTTCTGGTACTGTGAGGCGTCGTTTTTTTATATTTATTAGCAGCCTCTGCTGATGCTGCTGCGGTGAGGCTCGCAACAATGGCCACGCAAATAGTGTTGGTGCCCCGGAAGCTGCAGCAGCGGACTCCTTCTATTCGGGATGGTTTGTCCTGGGAGTTGGAGTTATCACAACGTATTTACGGCTGCCACCTCATTCAAAGGGCGGGGGTTCTCTTGCGTTTAGAAGCAGTTACGGTGGCCAGTGCGCAGACTATTCTTCATCGCTTCTACTACAGGAAGAGCCTCAAGAAATTCGACGTCAGGGTCAGTGGGGTTGCTGCTTATGTTGCTGCTGCTGCTGCTGTTGTTGTTGCTACTACTACTGCTGTTGGTGCCTGTATTTATCTGGGCATCTGTTTGAAAGGGGTGAAGGGTTTAAGTGATTGAGGTGTACTGGGAGCTGGCCTTTAGAGGCATATATCGAAAGATGCTTTTGTTGTTTTTTTGTCGCTTCCCTCGTTTTCTGAACGATATGTGCATTTCGTCTTCAAGTTGCAATAACTCTTTTGAGCCCACCCCACACATTCAGCGTAGCAAGTGCAATTGAAAGCCAGTGCATTGCTGCTGCTGCTGCTGCTGCTGCAGCTGCAATCGTGTCTTGATGCCTCTGTCCTCTGCTAGATTTCAGTGGGTGGAGTTGTGGGTTGTGGTTGTTTGGAAGTAACGCCTTAAGGCTGTTGTATCTCTCAGACGTGATATATTTATTATTCCTGTCTGCCCCTCTGTGCTGCTGCTGCTGCAGCTGGTGGCCACTTCATCTCTGCTGCTCGCGTGCAAGCTGGAGGAGGATCCTCGTCGAGTGAGGAGTTTAATTGATATTGTACAACTCCTAGCAAATGCAGAAGATGCAAATGTTCAAATAACACAAGACAACCTCGACCAGCTCCTCATTGACTATGACTCGCCGGTACTACACCAAATGCTGCACTTGCTTGTGCCGCTGCATTGGCTTCTGCTGCTGCTGCTGCCGCTTTTGCTGCTGCAGCACCTTCTGTTGCTGATGCTTCTCCTCCTCTCTTACTTTTGCTGGTGCTGCTCGTGCTTGCTGATGCTGCCTCTACTGCAAGTTGTATGGCTGCTATGGTGACTGCAGCAGCAGCAGCAGCTGGTGCTGCTGCTGCTGCTGTTTGTTTGTGGTGCTTGTGGTATTGATTCTGACTGGCGGCTGGTGTTGTTGGTTTGTATTTGCAGGAGTTTGAAATGATAAAGGCAGAGACATTTCGTTGCGAGCGTTATATATTGAGGGAATTAGGGTTTATGGTTTCTCAGACCCTTGTGCACCCCCATCGCTACATTTTGCAGTATATTCACGCACTCTGTAAAGGCGACTATATACCTACAAACAGGCTTTCTCAGATCGCTTGGGGATACCTCAACGACAGGTTAGTTGCTGCTGCTGCTGCTGCTGGTACCTCTGCTGCTGCTGCTGGTGGTATCCCTGCTACAGCTGCTGTTGCTGGTATCCGTGCCGCTGCTGCTGTTGGTAGCCCTGCTGCTGCCACTGCTGCTTTTGGTATCCCTGCTGCTGCTGTTATACAGAGGCTCGAGGAGGTGTGGATTGAAGATTTTGTTTCAATTTTTTGTTGTATTATTGTTGTGATACGTTGGCTCTTGTGTTTGTTTTTTTTGTGTTTAGTATGCGAACGACGTTGTGCTGCGAAGTGCAGCCAGCAGTCGTAGCAGTAGGAAGTATATTTCTTGCGGCCTGCGACTTGAACATTCATTTAGCAAAAGAAACGGGGTGGTATGAATTGTTTGATGTTACCTGGGAGGATGTCCTTAAGGTCTGCACTCGCATTCTTTCTCTTTATAAGAGGGGCCCTCCTAAATATACAAAACTCGCGGAGACCCCCAGGACCCTTCCTCCCCCTAAGCAGGAGGCTTCGACGAATACGAAAATAGAAAAATCAGAAGACAACTCCTTAGCAGCAACTGCACCACCAACAGCTGCATCTGGAGCTGATAATGCATCAGCAGGAGAAGAAGCACTCGCCGCTGCAGCGGCAACAACAGCAGCAGCAACAACAGCTGCAGCAGCAGCGGGAGTTCCAGCGGGAGCAGCAACAGCGGGGGGCAGCGCGAGCGGCGCAGCACAGGTCGCACCGGACCCAGCTGAAGAGGAGGAGATGCAGCTTGATGAGACCCTTGATAAGGATAAGGATAAGAAGGAAGAAACGAAGGAAAGAAATGCAGCAGCAAGAGAGACGACAGACTCTAGGGGAGGCGACGACTTCTCGCAACAGCGACAAACAGAAGGTGCGTGCATTGATCAGTTGCAGGCTGCAATACGCGCGGTGTACGTACACCTCGGATCCCCCCTTGTATGTACAGCTTCCAATTTGGAGTGTATATGTAGCGCAGCGGGTAGAGTTTGTGTTTGTTGTGCTCTTTGCTTGGTGGCTGTTGCTCCGCAGCCTCAGAGGCGCCTCCTCCTGCTGCAGGAGGAAGTCGGGATGAATTCAACAGCCACAGACGGGAGCTGCGAGAGGCTGCTACGGGTGATAGGCGATTTGGGAAAGAGGAGAGAAGCCCCCGGGACGTGCAGCAGGAATCTCGCCATAGAACACGACCCGCCGATAGCTACCGAAGCACGAAGCAAGGTGATGATGCTGCTGCTCACTCATCGTTGATTGCTTTGTCTTTTAAAAGCACTTGCATGCACAGATGCTTCCAGGCGGGCTGTAGTGCGTGTGCCGATGGAGAGGCGTCAGTCGCTAGCTGTTTGAGAGCATATTCTTGCTGGTGTTCATTCTTCTTCACTCCGGTGGAGTTTTCTGCATTTGATTTTGCTTTGGCGTTCTCGTTTTTGTGGAGTCTTTAAAGGCAAACTCTTTTTTAGACAGGTGTTGAAGCGCAGTTTGTGTTCTGCATTTGCAAGCTGTTTGCCTTCGTGTTTGTTTGGGGTGCTGGCAGATGGACACCGAGGAGGGCGAGAGGAAGGCCGCGAACCTCCAAGCCCGCGGCGGTCGGATTATCGAGACAGCCCTGTGCATTACTCATCTTCTTCTCGAGACAGCAAGTGGGAGCGCTTTGGCCACCGGGACAGGTACGAATCTCATTCTGGGTCGTTCAGAGACAGAGAAAGAAGGCGATACCCTGACAGCAACCCATCGTTCGACTCTCCACGAAGTCGAGGAGATATTGACGGGGGAAGAGGGGGGGGAAGACCCTCAGCGAAGAGGCCTTCACGCCGCGATTCTCCTGGAAGAAACTCCCACAGGCCTCTTAAGTTGCCCGCTGGCAGCGATTCGAAGCGCCTCTGAAGCGCTGCGTTGCTGCTGCGGCTGCTTCTGCGGCACATGCAGTTGCTCAGTGTGCATATAGCCTGTTCATTAAGGACGAAGTCCGTCGTTTAATCGTTTGACCTGCGCAGTTTTTGCCCCTGTTTCCGCTGAAGGGAGGGAAGCAGCGCGCAGAAGACAATCGATGAGCTGTCCACCCGCAGAAGCCACTTATGTGCGACGTGCTGCGTTTCAGACCTTTTTAGTTTGATCGTCTCCGTCTAGGCTTTAATGTTCTTACAAATGCATGCATGCGCAGGAAGTATGCTATTCTTAGTCGAACACATAGAATACAAGGTGCTGAAATGAAACTTGCACGCCTACTGAGTGTATGGACAGTTCGGTCCGCTTCTTGGCAGGTTTTGTTGGGTTGTGCATAGGTGCTCAGGAGGAAAGCAAAGGCGGAGTCGTCTGATGTTCAGCATTTACGAGTAGTATTTTCATGCATAAGAGATATAAAGGGGTTGGCAGAACGAAAGTGTTTCTTAGCTCACTTATTTCTCGCAAAAATGGAAGGCAGGCGGGGTGCGCTCGACCTCTCTGAAGAGATAGAACTTTGTGGAAAGCTGCGCAACGACATTGGCAAAGCACTGAAAACGGATGCGCATAATGCAGCCAAGTATGGCAGGCATACAGTTTGTGCATATTTAATTCGTGCATCGCAAATATATTCATCATCTGCCCTGTTCAGAGCCCAGTCGGAATGCGAAGAGAGCAAAGCCCTCGAGAGTCTGATTGAAACTGAAGCTTTGCACCTAGAGGAAAACGTTGCAACAGCAGAGACTTCTTTTCTGCATGCTACTGCTAGCATAGAGAAGATTGAAGTGGCAACGGCGCACCTGCACGAAACTAATTCTGTTCTGTCGCAACAACTGGACAGATCTCTTCAGCTAATTGACGAAAGCACTGAAGGTGGGAGCAGCAGGCACCACCAGTTGTGGATGAACGAATTCGAAGTGTTTTTTTATTCATTCGTATTTTCATTTCAGCGTTTGAGGAACTGCGAAGGCAGCACTTGTCGTTCTGCCAAGTACAGGAAGAAGCTCACAAGAGGATGTGTGTTTTGTTCTCTTTGTAATCAATTCACCTTTTCCATCTCGCGTCCACGCAGGACCTCTGTCGAGGCGTTGCTGCGCAGCATAATGAACGGAGAGGAGCAGACGAGGGGTCTCAAAGCGGAGATGCAAACGCTGAAAAGCACATTGGAGGTTCTAGAAAGGACAAAAGAAGAACTCATTCCGGTGTTAGAAAGCTGTGAAAAAGCTTTCGGTGAGACGCATCTCCTGCCCTTCGTCTATCTTTTCGTTTTCTTCTCCATCGCTCCCCCATAGAATCCGTCCAAGTGGAATACGAGCAAAGCAAGAGAAGTAATGCGCAGCACCTCGCACTGATCGAGCGCTGCATGGAAGAAGAAGAACAAATGAAAGCTGTGAATAACATTATCTATTCAATCAATTGCTGCTGGTTGCTTATCTAGAGGAAACTATCACAGAAAATGAGAGAAATTCGAGATGAACACACACAGCTCTGCGAGCGGAAAGCTGCTATTGAGGTATTTCGCGGCTTTGTTCTAAACAGTAGCAGCATGAACACACCACCCAAATCTCTCTTCTGTCTTTTTATTTCACTCGTTCCAATTTGTGAATTGCAGGCAGAAGCAGCGCGCGTCCAGAGCGCCGTCATGGCTGAAGTTGAGATCGCCGCACAGCAACAGGCGAGCAAAACATTTCTTTGAGTGTTTCTTATGGTTACGTGCTGCCTTTTAACTCGCTTATTGCAACAATGAACAGAGAGAGGCAGTGGAGAAACATGAAAAAGGCTCCAGGGTGCTCGAGGAAAAGAAACGCGCAAGGCAGGATCAAGAGGTGAAATTGAACTCGCTGAAAGAAGAAATGCAAAAAGCGACAGAAGAAATGTATTCTACAATGGAAAGGATGAAGAGCTTGCGAAAGCAGTACGTCCTGTCTACTCTCTCCCTCCTATTATTCTCTTTTCTGCATCTTGAGCATCGCTTTTTCCTGTTATTCCGCGCCGCAGGGACGCCGAATTAGTTCATTATAAACGGAAGGTCTCGGAAATGCTAAAAAATGAACAAGGGATCTTCTCAGAAATGAAGAAAAGGGAACACTGCATTGTGGAGTTCTCATCTGCACAACAGAAAGCCGCAAACGTGACTGAAGCTTTGCAAAAAGAGGAAGAAAAGCTCGCTGCACTCTGTGGCATGCTCGTAAGCACAGTTTGCACATTTGTCGTACATTTCGTCTGCTAGATCGGCTGCCTTCCCCCTTGTTTATTCCTTCTAAAGGAAATGGCTCGCATGGAACAAACTGAAATGGACGCTTTGCGCGAAAATGAAAAGAGAATTATGAATAAAGGCCTTGAAGCGTTGCAAAAGGCAGAGAGAGAGGCGGATGAGGTTGCTGGCGCGGTACGTTGCTCCACCCAGATTGACATGTGATAACAATCAGGAATAATTAATTTAAACTTCCAAATGAGCAACAAAATTATACTCAAATGCCCCAGGGAGAGGAACTCAAAGGCTTAATTGGAGCGCTTGAAGCGATTTTGACGGAGCAGAAGGAAACCACGCACAGTCTCATTCTGTCGCGCAGCCGTGTTGATCTTCAGCTGAAAGAAGTATTTTGTTTTTTTTTTATCAATGCATGCATTTCGATTTTTTAGTTTTCTATTCCATATATTTAAATCTAATTCTCTCAGGCCGATATAGCTGAGTCGCGCCTCAGTGACCTCCGACGCGCTCATGCGGCGTTTACGGTGAGGAAGAGCGACAGAAAGACAAATAATTTAGCACAAAAAACTCTACATTTCATATTGAAATTAACTGCAGAATCAAGTAAAAGAAAAAGAATCTGAAAGGGAGAAGGCCGAGATACGAATTACACAACTGCAAGGCGAGACCTCAAAGCAAAAACTTGAACTCGGAAACCTTGAGCAAGAACACACTGAGGCCCAGACAGTAATCTCTCCCTTCATTATCCTCCATTTCTTCACTTCTATTTGCGTTTCAACTGAACAGAATCTCGAAGGGCTAGAGGCAAAAATTGTTGAGGCTCAGGAGAATGAAAAAGCGTGAGTTGTGCGCGTCGAAGCAAGTGTTTTGAGGATATTTACCAAGAACACTAAAACAGGGAGAAAAACGATTTGCAGATAGAACTATTCCGTCTTCGTGAGGTGCGGTGCATTAATTATATATATTGAAACATATATATATGTATAGCTGTTTATTCTCAACATCAATTGTTTTCTCTCGTCCCTGCTGTAGGAGCTGCAGACGAAGTACGACGCGGCGTGCGCTCAAGTACGCGTCGAGTATCAATGCCAGTATACTGCAATGTTGAACCAAACATTAAAGGTAATTCTTTTTATTTCTCTCCCCACTTTTAAAGGCGATAAAGGCATCTTAACTGTGTTCATCTTCAGGATGAAGAAGGAAGGCTAGCTGAAGAAAAACGCAGCAAAATTGAGCAAATTTCAGCTCTAGTTGAACGCACGGCAGGCAAAATGGCAGAAATAAATACAGATAGATCCATTTATGATTAAACTTGAGGCTACGAGGCCTTATCAAACTGCTGTTCCTGCTTGTAGTTCGCAAGAACTTCGCGGTTATGTTCACAGCGAGTCTGCTGTGTTTGCTTCACCCCTTTGGTTATAGCCCTCTAAATCTTAAACCAATTGATTTTACTGGTTTTACTTCTGGTGAATTCATAGGTCAGTTAAGTTTGCCGCTGCTCGTAAACAAACACAACGGTCCCTAAGCATCATTACCATGCACGCCAAACACCCTGTCTGCATCTCTAGGCCTTTGGAGTATCAAAACAAATACTCGCTAGCCGCGAGGCTGAGATGCAGATTGTTACTTTCTGTACTACGTTTTAATGCCTTAGACAACCTAAATTTAGATAAATTCACACGACCCTCGTCCCCATCCCAATACACAACCATCAGTTACCTTCGGAGGCGTCGGGGCAGACTGAAAGAAACATATGCAGCGGCGCGGCATCGCAAGCTAAGCATTCACCCTAAGCAATACGTATATATAAATATATTTGAAAAAACACTGTGTCTATAGCGTAAAACGCACAAACGAAAGAAGCTGCATGCGTCCCGACGGAATGCCCGTTGAAGGCGACGGTGTAAGGACCCAGTTCGAGGGGGTGTAAGACAATTAAAATAGAGGAATCTTCTATTTTGTTTGATTTTAATTCAATTTTGCAGGAGATCTTTAACTTTGGCTGCAGCTTACTCTACATTCCATGCTCCCGCTCCTACCACCACTCCTGCGGCACGCCGTGAGGGTATGTGCGGGGGCTGAGCGTATGTCTTTTTAGAGGTGTTGAAATTTATTATTATTTAAAAGAAACGTAGAACGAAATTGGCAACTTTAAAAAGTACAATTAAGATGAAGATAGGAACAACTCCGGGAGATGCCCATGCTGCAGCAGCTGCAGTAGCAGCGGGAGCATGTGCTGCTGCTGCTGCTGCTGCTGCTGCTGCTGCTGCATGTGGGCCTTTCGGCATGTCTGGATAGCGTTGGTATTGTGAGTGTTCATTTGAGTATTTTCTTTCTTTTAAAGGTTTATAGTGTGTTGAGGAGATCAGTTGCACAGACAGGCCGCGTTTCCTTCTGCTCGCGGGTCGTGTTCTCCGCACGCTGAAGTGTCGTGCGTGGGCTGCGTGGGTTAGCTGCGAGGGATTTCGCTGAGAGCAGCGCTGCGAGGCAAACGAACAGACAAACGTAAGACAGAAACTAACAGCAGCTGCAGAAATGTGGAGCTGCAGGGCTTGCAGCAACACGCCTTTTGCGGCCCTCTTCGGCTTTGGAAGCGCCGAGGAAGACCGACGGAAGAAGAAAAAGAGAGCAAATTCACAGGCACAAGAAAGCTCTTCTCATTCAAACTCAGAGGTAAACAAACCTTAATCGCAATCACAACACTAACGACGTTTCTGCTGCTCCGTATGGCCCGTCTTTTCAGCTGAGTGGCAGAACAACGCGTGCATGCAGAGCGGAGGTAGCAGAACACCAAATATTTCGTTCGCTCTATTCTTCTCGGGCCTGAGAAAAGTAATGGAGATTCATGCGTTAGTTGTTTCATTGCTCTATCGGGGGGCTTCTGCAGCTTGCTACGTTGTATGGCTTACACTACCTACGAGCAGTGTGGCTGTATGACTCGCTGTGTTTCCTTTTCATATATTTTGCTTCAAGTGCCTGTTGTCTACACATATCAGCCGGTTTTTTTTCGAGGTTTTTGGTCTTTTAACCCATTATTCCTTCCTGTTTCTTCTTGCCTGTATGTCTTGTACACTTCAGGGAGACAGCGCTTATACAGACCGCTATGCATCTCAAGAAACATTTGAACCGCGAAGTCCGGAGGAGGTGGAGGCGCTTTGCAGGGCTTGGGAGCACTATGTACACCCCAGGGCGAGGGAATTCTGGCAAACTGCAGAGGCCAGGATCGAAATATTACGTAAGTCCAGGGGAAAACGAGCAAACAGAAAACAGAAAACATGCAGTGGAGAGGCAAATAGCCATGCACAAACGCACAGCAATGAAGAGAGTGGAAAAACAAACATACTCTACCGAGGATTGCTGGGGGAAACACCCGTAGCTTTTTAATCTTTTGAGAGATATGGATAGCCAAACAGGTGGCTGCCTTTCATCTCACTGCTGGAGTTTTCGCTGACTTGAGGCGCAAAGACGCATTGCTACCCTCGTGCTTGTTTCTGCTCCATATTCGGTTTCGTCTTTCTTGTGTTTTTCTCTTCCTTTCCTCGTTTCTGTGGGGCCTGCCGACGGTTTCGATGGGGGGCATTTCGTTGCAGTATAGGTAGAGAGGTTTTATTTCTTTTTTACGTTTTGCCGAATGTATAGTCCTTGTTTTATGCATGCGGTCGTTTGTGTTTTGGGGCTTCATACGGGACCACGAGCTGAGTACAAGAATATATATATATATGTATATAAAGTGATTGATAACTTCGTATCTTTTGTGTTATCGGGTGCTGCGTGTATGAAACAGAGAAGATCGCTCGCGGTGTGCATAGAGGCTACGACCCTGTCTTGGGCGATGATAAACAGTGCGTCGTTTGGTACGGGGATTTGTCAGAAGACGACAATTTGCCGGTCATTCGAATGGTGAAGCCTGGAGAAACTCAAGAGTCGCAGACTTACGTCAACCGCACCCTCGTTTTCCTTTATGCAGGTACATTGATACGCCGCATTTCTGCATACTTCCTATTCCTCCCGTCTACCCGGCAGCAGTTCAGTGATATATTAGTCGCATGGTCACTCTTCTCGTTGGATATGCACGCTTGTTTCTTCCTTGGTATGGGGTTGTTTTGTTTTTTTACTGCGCCCGGATGCTCCTATGGCTGTCCGTGTACATTGGTTGTCAATGCTCACTCCTTTTCAATGTGCTACTTGATTTACTCTTGGCTTGTCGTTGTTTTAGGTGTTGGTGTGGTTGGGCTTCTTGCAAATTCTCCTCAGTTAGAACTTTGATACGATGACTGTTTACAGTAAAACTTAGCAAAGAGACTCGGCTTGCGCATTCACCGTGCAACAAAGAAATAATAGAGACGCATTATCTCAACGATTGCGTTTTTGCTTGTCGTTTACAGATGAGGAGAGTTTCAACGAGCTGCAGGAAAAGCCCAAGAAGGCGTTTACAATGGCCTGTGCAAACCCGCTTTGTGTCAACCTCACGCATATCGCACTAGATGATTAAACAGCATATAGGGGTTTTTAATTTATGGCGTTGGGGTCCGAGAGTTGGTTTGGTTTAGAACCCGCTTCTTGTTCTGCTCCGGTGGCACTGCGGGGCTGCCTTGCGGCTGCATGCATGCATGCATGCATGCATAAAGCACAGTAAATGCGTGCGAAATGAGTATATTATAGGGTCTGAGAGGTGCTATAATATATACAAATCGCACGTGTTTGCAGCTGCCCACAAACAACAAACACGCAAAATGGACATGTAGGGAATACTACGGAAGAGGGAGAATGCTGTTGCAATTTATTTGTCAGTTCATTTCTTCTATTTGATCCGATTCATTTTTGTAGAGAGACAAGCAAGTGGCTATTCGTCTTCCGTCAGTTCAAGTGGTGGCGGTCGTCTCGAGGGAGAATACACCCCGTACACGAGGAAATGCAAATAAAGAACAGACGGAAGAAGCGCTTGGGACTTGTAATTACGTCTACCGTATTATTGTTTCCGCACCATCTGTCTATCAACCTGAAGGCTGCAGCGTCAGCATCGACTGTATTCTGTATTATTATTTAAATCATGGCAGCTGCGCCTTAGCAGGGTCTCTCAGGAGATGCATGCATGAATGCTCGTGTGCACGTCTGTTGCTGATTGGAGAAGAGTATTTATCAATTGTTTATTGAGTTCATGCATCATGCACTGAATAGGGGCTTGGGTATGCTTGCACCTGGGGGTGTCTGGCGTGAGGAGTTGCAGCAGCGGGCGCTGCAACACAAGAAAGGAGCTTCCTCTCCTCCCCAGTCCCAGGGTCCTCTGCAGCTGTGCTCAGGGCCAGTGGAGACGAAAGGACAGGGTCAGCTGCACTTTGTGGAACTGTTAGTTAAAGTGGTTTGACTCTATTGCTGCTCAAGACGGTCCTCCGCTCGCGCCGAGGGCTCTCGCGGAGTTTAGTAGCACCGCAAACTTGAGGGAGAGGCCCCAGATGCGAACATGTGGGAAGTTGTGCACGGTTTAGTTGGGTAGGGCCTTCACTCCATGGAGCGCATTTCCGATATACTATCCCTATGTCTTACACTCAACCATTCTTCTATATAATATTGAACACTACTCTGGCTCTGCCCACCGTCGATGGTCAGCGTAGGCCTTTTGTTCAATAGGCAAATACACTTCCTAGCTGAGCGGTCTACAGGAAGCTTCCCTTTACCTTTTTCCAGTTATGCCAGAGCCTGGTTGTAGGGAGGTTGCTCGAGCGTACTAGAGGCCCGCAGTGGAATGCAGTGGAGTCATACTTAAGATACGAGTTCAGGCAATGCGGCAAATAGCTTCCTCTCCAGTATCCAGGTGCCCTGAGCACAGCAGCATGACAGCCGGGAGTTGCTGCAGAGGAGGCACCCAGCCACGAGTTGCAACGCTGCTTACTGCAAGGTACCCCGACGTGCAGGCTTACTCAAGATCCCTTCTGATGCATTCACTAACGCACTATATAATTGTTAAACACTTCTTTGGACCTTCGTGGCGAACCTACTTAAAAGCTGAAATATACGCGTCAACTTCAACCAGGCCATGTAGTAAACACCTCCGCTCCCCAGACCCTCTGCTATTGTCGTCAGATCATCTCAACACAGGAGGAGCGGCAACTAACTGATCTTTAGAATTCTTATCTGAAGTGGTTTGAATCTATTTAGGCTTCCGACGGTCCTACAAGGGCGGACGCTTCTATAGAGACGTGTGGTTGAATCGCTCGTTGTGGAGGATATGTTCAATATGTTAAAACTCAAATGAATGCATTTTTAATAAAGCGATCTTTTTAAACAATTCCAACGTCGGGGATCTAGACCATCATTTCCCAGCTTCCCTTACCCGGGGCCCCCTGGGCTTCTTTTGGCTTCTGGGACTTTTGTGCATGCACGTCGTTTTCTGCCCAACTTTTTGCCTTCCTTTGTCTTTTCCCTCTCAAATACACCTCCTTCTGTTAAGTATTTCTTCGAGGGGTGGTGGGGGGTTGCAGATGCTGTCCTTCTTCCTCCTTGTTTCTGGTCGGTTTTCTCTCGCCGGTCCACTTCAAGGCCTGGGCAGAGCACGGGCGCGTGAGGGGTTGATAGAAGTACATTATTTTGGGCTCCCTTCCCCATAAATCAACATAACTGTGGAAATAAAGCAATAAAACGCCCATTGATTTTTAACTTGCTGCGCTTTCCCCTCCCGTTTCCATCTGCCCTCCCTTTGCATGCGTTTGCGTAAGGGCAGTTTCAGCGTCTTCTTCCGATTCTTTCCTTGATTTCAAACTCCGAAAGGGTCTCCCCAGGTGAAGTTTCGGAATAGTTTGGGAAAATGCCGCAGAACGAATATATGGAACAGCACCGCAAACGCTTCGGCGAGCGGTTGGACGCCGCCGAGCGCAGGTGAGCACTGCAACACTGAGAAGACGGAGGGAAACAAACGAATATTAGTACAAATAACAGAAACGTTTGTTGACAAGCATGGAGAATTAAATAATGAACAAATACATCGCGGAGGCGAATAGTCGGCTCGTTGCACCAGCAAACTGTTATAGTGCGATTCAAACACATTGTATTGAATGCAATCCTGTTCTTGTTTCATGTTCTACCTTGCGTCGTGCCGGTTCGAGCTCGCAGTATCTCACATCTGGTTGTTTAGATATCGCTCTTCTACTGCTGGTCTTCTGAACAGGCGGAAGAAAGCGGCGCGTATGCCTCACGAGCGATCAAAGACAGCGCGTAAACTTCGGGGAATAAAGGCGAAGATATTCAACAGGAAGCGCTTTGTAGAAAAAGCACAGATGAAGAAAACCATTAAACAGCATGAGGAGAAGGAAGGCAAGCAGAAGGAGCCGGAAACCGTCCCTGAGGGCGCAGTGCCGTCTTATTTGTTAGACAGAGAAGGCGTTTCAAGAACGAAACTGCTGACAAACATGATTAAACAAAAGAGAAAAGAGAAGGCCGGAAAGTGGCAGGTGCCCATTCCCAAGGTCAAGGCCATGACAGAGGAAGAAATGTTCAAAGTGCTCAAATCAGGAAAAAGAAAGAGTGAGGACCCCAGAGCGCTTTTTTAGACCCAAGTGGATTTAATACAGAACACAGATATAATGTGTATGAAGAATAGACATTAATCTTATCTATAAACACAAACATGAACACACACTTTACAACGATCATTGGGGTTGCGGTGCCTGTACGCACAGCTCCATCCATATGCACTTTAGGTGGAGGCGGGTCTACAATATAATATATGCTAAAGGGATTATTTTTTTTCTGTACACTGTTCGTTGAAAGGCATTCATGTGTTTGCTCATTCTTGCAGGGAAGATGTGGAAGCGCGTGGTGAACAAGGTGTGCTTTGTGGGGGAGGACTTCACGCGGAAACCGCCCAAATTTGAACGATATATTCGGCCAACGGGTTTACGATTTAAGAAGGCGCATGTGACACATCCGGAGTTGAAGGCGACATTTCAGTTAGATATCGTAAAAGTCAAGAAAAATCCCCAGTCCCAGCTGTACACCTCCCTTGGGGTCATCACCAAGGGTGCGCGCGCATATTTAAATCTCCACGCATTTAAATTGCAATTAGAACTCAGTTTTTGATTAGTTTGCGTGGGGCGCTTCGCACGTGATCCTTTAGTCAGGGATCTTCAACGCAGGGCAATCACCCCGCCTGTACATTTTTTTGCCTGTTCATAAACCGTTCATTCGTCTGTTTTTTACTTATGTGTTCTTTATTCGCTTTTTTTGTCTGTTGTTTGTTCTCTGGTGTTTTCTGTGAGTGCTAAGTGGCATTGGCGTGTTGTTTTAATGCTTGGGATGTATGCTCAGGTACCATCATAGAGGTGAACGTTAGCGAGTTAGGATTGGTTACGCAGACCGGCAAAGTGGTTTGGGGTGAGCTTTGATGTTGCTTTATTTTCCATTTTCCCTCTTTTCTGTGCGACTTGTGCTGAATAGAAGTAATTTTCACTTCATGGCTGTGGATCCTCGTTTTTTTGCCGCTGTGCAGCCAAGTACGCGCAAGTCACCAACAACCCCGAGCTGGACGGATGCATCAACGCGGTGCTTCTGGTTTAAATGCACCTCTTATTTCACCTTTTGCGAAGTTCAGCAAAGATGAAATTAGGAAGACCACCATTCTTTTGGTGGCCAGTAGCTGGGAACCATGCAAGCACTTCGATGGGAGTGTCGTTTTCTGCCCAAATAAACAGACGAATATTCGTTTTCATCGTGTGAAGTGGAAGCAGAAACGCAATAAACAAATTTTACTTATTGAACGAGTTACTGTTTTAGAGCTGTCCAACATAGCAGGCAGTCATCATTCCAAGCGGACCCAGTAACGCCGTATCTGGGAAAGAAAGGAGATGAGTATATAGTTTATTATTCTTTGTAAATTGAGCCCAATAAAGGCACATCATTTCAGGTACTTTACTTAAGAAATGGAGCCTTCTAGGGATGCTACCGGGCTGGGTGATCGCTGGTCGGTCACTGCTCGCGTGGGTGCTCGGCTGGGGCGCAGTATATTAGACTATCTCGAAAAAACTATAATAGAAGATGAAATGCAGATAATTAGGTAAATTTAGTGGACGTTTTTCTATTCTAGTGTCGAAGGCGTCGTGTACATGAGTACATGAGATAGGCGAAGCCGGTGGGTGGTGTACGTAGTACCCGCCCGCGCGTGTGGCTGGGTTCATCTGCACGTGCAGGCAGTGCCCTCTGTACGAGATAAGTTTGCAAAAACGAAACAGGTGACAGTTGTTAAAATAAATACAAACAGGTTCAGTTTTATCTTCAATTGTTTCAGTATTTTCTTCCTTTACGGTTTTTTCTTTCCACCCCACACGCCAGCAGGTCCCAGCAGGTCCACTCAACGCAGTCGACGGAATTTTTGAACAGACGACTTGGAGGGAATTCAAAGCAAATTTCCACAGGAAAAGGCATTTTATAGCTTATTTTTGCTTAGATAGCTCTTTCAGGGTGGGTATTTCGCCTTCGTTTCTCTGCAGGATTTCCAGCAGACTGCTCGATCACAGCAGTACTATGCGCTTATGCACTTCTGTGTCTCGCGTTTCACCCCTTTATTACCCATGAAAATCTGCATTAGGAATATGTGCTAGTTGAAGCACCCGAGTATCTCTAAAAAGGATACCCTCAAGCCTTTACAGAGCAGGCGAAGCACATAGTTCCTTCTGGAGGTGCTCACGCCTGTTGCAGAGTGATCTCATTGACTTGGGGCATGTCAAAAGCTACTCAAATATGCTTAAGACCTCTAGACAGCCTATGAACATCACATTATTTTTGTTGATTCGTGTATGAGGCAACTGCTTAACTGTTTCCTTCAGTTCTTTCTGAAGATGGAACGGGTAGGCGAATACGAAATCGTGTCGGTCGTCGGCAGCGGCTCTTTTGGCAAGGCAGTCTTGGTGAAAGACAAAGCGGGTCGAAAGTGAGTTTGTTAGTCTTCTTTCGCTTACTGTTATTCTCCAATGTGTGCTATTATTATTCTCTCAACACCTTAATGCATGCACACAACTCGAATGCGTATGCTCCTACGTCGCCGCAGGCTGATCATGAAACTGATCAATACACGACAGATGAACAAAGAAGACATCGAGGAGGCCAAAAGAGAAATACAGGTATCGTGCTCTGCGCTAAAGTGTTTCAAGTCGGGCTAGGCTGCGGGCTGAGGGTTCGGAGGTTAACAATTGGCTACCATCGATTTACTCTAAACCAAGTTGTTGAGTCTTTCCATTTCTCTTTCATTCTGTTCATTTCCGCTTTCATGTGTGTTCATTAAATATGGAAATAAGTATCGGTGTAGGCAGCCAGCGTTATGCAACCGCCACCCACCCCCACCCCAAATACAAACAAATACGCCAAGGCCAACATATATATATATATATATATAT